AAAGGTCGCCGATGATGCCCATGCCTCACCAAATACCACTCCCCGGTTGAGCTCCCCTGCTCTACGGATCTCTGCCGCACGAGAGCCTTCCATCAACGGCCCCTCGATGACACGCAGCGGGATTTGCAATTCTGCCCGGGCCTTTCGCCGTTGAGGCACGGAGGAAGCTGCCAATGTGCCAGACTCAAACCGGCAAATCTGCGAGAGCGGACCTCCTCGGTATCCCCCTCAATGAACTTGTCGATACCGTTGATCAGCCTCTTTGGCCCCATACAGTACCACATCATGTCAGTTTCTGCAGGCCAAGGGCCAAGGGGGCATGCACACAGCGACATAGCGTCTCGGCCGAGGCCACCGCCCGTAGTGCAGACGCTCTGTGAATGTGCCGCTTCGCCAGGCATCCTGTCTCGAGTCGGATGATGTCGGATGATGTCGGCGCGAGGCGACCCGAGACTTGCGAACCGCGCCTTGGCGGGAGCGCCACCCGCAGCACCACCCGCAGCCGGGGCAGGCTTGCGGACTGCCTCTGGGCCACGCTGCTGCGATGCCCTACGATGTGCTACGCCACTGCGAAACCGGAGACATCTTGAGACCCCTTCAGACTCACAGCACGGAGGCGGCCTCGGCGTACTCCAGGAAGCGCTCGACCTCTGCACAAGACGGCGCATGACGGACCTCTCGTGCTACAGCAAGGCGGGTCTTTAGGCTTCCTGCATGCTTGCCATCTGCAGACTGGTTCAGGATCACCTGCAAACCAGGCAGGAATGATCGAGCCAGCTGAGACCAGCCGGGTTGAAGGCCAGACAAGGAGCCGCGTGCCTCTTCCGCCAGCTTGCGTGTGTTCTCGTCGATGTCCGTGTAGCGGGGAAGGCCTTGGCGACACGGTGAGACGGTCCAAGAAGCTCCGTGCGGCAGCTTCACCCGGCCTCCTGGGTTCACGATGGACATGTTCAGACCCTTGGGCACTGCGTGGTAGAGGAACACGCTGTGCATGGCATCCCGCAGGGAGTTCAGGCCGCGGAAGGAGAAAGACAGGTTGCTCAAGCCTCCAGAGAAGGAGACGCATGGGCAAGTTCGCTTGATCTCCGCCACGGCATTGATGAAGTCGACGGCGTAGGAGTTGTGCTCCGGCAGTCCAGTGGCGATGGTCAGCACGTTGCAATCGAAGATAATGTCCTCTGGCGGGAAGTCAATGTTCTCGCGCAGGCACCTGTAGCTGCGCTGGCAGATGCGAACCTTGTCCTCGAAGGTGGCCGCCTGACCCTGCTCGTCGAAGGCCATGATGACCACAGCTGCACCATAGCGCATGCAAAGCTTTGCCTGACGAAGAAACTCTTCCTCGCCGACCTTTAGTGAAATCGAATTCAC